TTGGTAGTTGTGGATGTGGTCGAAGCCATTAGGGAACATATTGAATATTTCAGGGGCCTACCCAGATTATGGGTCCTCTGAAGGGCCCTAGAAGACCACCGTGTTTTTTTGGGAGATATTGGGAAGGATCATGATTTTACAGACATGCGCGATCAGGAGCGTCCTGATGTGCATTGACGTGCCTGAACTTTTACGAAGAAAGATAAAGACTCACTCCCTAAAGGGTCCATGTCGGTATATGGTATACAGTTGGGCCCAACGTGGTTCCCATAACACTACCTTGGGGCCTGAAAGTGTATACTCTATATCTAAACGGACCCTGTGGGCTCCAATAATCTACAGGTCCGCTCTGCACTTCACACTAGAAACTCTGCGATCCATCCCATAGGGCTGCGCACCAGCACGTGAATGTAGACCCGTGATTAATCAACCCCCTCCCCTTAATAGGGATTATAATAGGGATGCTTGTATTATGGACCTTTAAAGGGAGGGAATTGAATAATCCCGGGTCTACAATACCCTGGTAATTGCTACTAAGATCTGCTGGGAAGTGTGGACCTGCCCACTGATGGGGCACCTTGTGGGTCGGTCATTTCAATGTTTCAATGACCAGCATGCGGTCTTGAGGTATACCTCGGACATATGCAATCATCTGTTCAGGACTGAGGCGGGAGATCACTCCGAAATGGAAAAACTTTACTTCAAAAGTAGGAACTCCATAGCCTACATCATGTACCCTTAGTTCTGTCTCTCAACTGGTCTTGAACCGTATAAACCCTGCCCACCCCTACACCTGACATTCATCCCACCTTCTTCGGGAGCTTACGCTGCAAGGTGTCCATGTCGCGCCTGAGAGAGAACTTGCCGTGTGGGGTGTGCAAATGATGGTAAGGGTCTTGATTGATATGTCCTGGGAGAGCCCTCTGGAGTAACTCAAGGCTCATCAAGACACCTGCGAGCTTGCGGTCCCTTTAAGCTTCAGGGACTTGAGGGTTTACGGCTCAGGGTTTGGGGCTTGCCTGCGTGAATGCTGTCTTGCATATATAGATCGGGCTCAGGGAGCTCTTTGAGGGTCTGTCGTACCAGCAGGGGAGGCCCTCAGAGATCTACCTGACCACTGGAGTGACCTGCTGAAGGTTGCCACACTTAAGATGCACAGGGATTGGAAAAGACAGGTTCCCACCTGGACCCTCCAGTCTTCAGTGTAGTTGCTTTTCAGGTTCGGTCTGGTTTCTTACGAGGACCCCCAAGCAAGCGCTACATTAGAGGGTCCAGGCGCAACCCCTATGTCTAGCGGTTACACCTTAGGAGTATGATAATAGAAGCGCTCGAGCAAATATATTGCTAGCCATAGGAACGCGGCGTGGATGTACAAACTTCTGTGAACAGCTACGCAAAAGGTATCTTCAAATCAGCGACCGACCAAAAAAATCATGGTCAAAGAACAGATCATGATCCCAGTTTCCATTTCATTTTCCATTTTCTTTTCCATTTGATTCTCCATTATTTGGGTAATATCCCTATAATCGCTTCCCCCTAATAATAAACGACGTCCCCCCCCCGGTAATAATGAATAATCCGGGTGGTCAGAAATT